CTGATATCTTCTAAAGAGTACCTAAAAATGTTTGTTTTCCACTCCTAGGTGTACCTGTGCATCATTACAATGTTTCATTAGAGGAGTTCCAAAGCAAGAAGTTAACAACCAAATTGCTGCAACAAGTACAGGTAATATTTCACACGATTTAGTTGCTATTTTGATTTCTTTGATGTTCTAAAAACATTCTCTCCTTGTCTTTATTTCATCCTCAAGTCAAAGTCAGTTTTGTAGTCTAACTGTACTTACTGTTGAACTTAATGTTATTGTAGGATCCACTGGTGCTAGCTAGTTTAGCTTTACCTGACTGGTGTGAGAAGTTGACCAATAAATGTCCAATGCTCTTTCCATTTGAGTCTCGTTCATTGTTCTTCACATGCACGGCATACGGTGTGTCACGTGCGATTGCCTGGCTACAAGACAAACGAGATGCCACACTGGAAAGACAGAGAACACCGTCATCACGTAGAGATGACCAACATGAGTACAGGGTGGGTAGACTGAAACATGAGAGGGTTAAAGTACCACGTGGAGAGCAACTAGTAGAGTGGGCAACCAATGTGATGAAGTTTCATGCCAATAGTAAATCAATATTAGAGGTGAGTATTCATGATATATATATGGGGTAGTATAGAAAAAAATGATGCTATGGATAATTTATTGCTTTTGAATTTATTATTCAGTTTGTTATCTAATTTGAGATTGATTGGGTTCATTTTGTGTTCTAATACTTGGATCCTCTGTACAACAGGTTGAATTTTTGAGTGAGGAAGGAACTGGCCTGGGTCCTACATTAGAATTCTATGCACTTATAGCAGCTGAATTTCAGAGGAAATCGATGGGACTTTGGATTTGTGATGACGAGTTTGCTGATGATATGGCTAGACAGGTGAGTAAAACCAATGCATTGGTTATTGATCAAATTGTATAGTGGCTCCTTCATGTGTTCAGGATACATACCTAGACACTTTAATAGTGGGAGAGAAATGCAGATGATGAAAAATGACACATACCAAACCTAAAACACTGAAAATATAGATGAGTGATAGACAAAACAATACATGATCAAATCATTGAGAGACTGATATTTAGACCTTGATTCTTATGACTAAGAAAGTAATACAAGAAACCATATAATTGTTACATCCATTACTTATAGGTCAAATCATGTTGTGCAAACTAAATTCCTCAAACAGCAAATATTGTTTCACTGAACTGATTTATAACCTGATGTTTTGTTTTCTTTCTAGGTGGATATTGGCCGTGGTACTAAACCTCCAGGGTATTATGTGCAACGTGCTAGTGGTCTATTTACAGCTCCTCTACCTCAAGACAGTGAAGACACAGATAGAGTCGTGCACATTTTTTATTTTCTTGGTATTTTCTTAGCGAAATGTTTGCAGGACAACCGTCTAGTGGATATACCTCTATCTCGGCCGTTCCTTAAACTGATGTGCATGGGAGAGGCGGGTAGCAGTATTCATGAGCCATACCTGGACTCCACCTTGCATGATTATGACGGTACATCTAACGAGAGCCTCTCTGAGGCTTCCACCGATGATTATCATGAACTGATCTCCAGTATTCCAGATGAGGATTCTAAATCTGAGTTAATCCTGGATCCACCGAAAACCAAATCTCCTGCATGGTTTGCCGGATTACTGACTTGGGAAGATTTTGAGTTGATCAATCCTCATCGTGCGAGGTTTTTGAATCAATTGAAAGAGCTGGTAGCCAGAAGAAAGAAGATCCTCATCGATAATACACTGACTGAAGAGGAGAGGAATAATCAGATACAGAATCTATGTCTGGAAAACCTTGCTGGGTCGGGCCCTCCGGTTAAATTGGAACATCTTGGGTGAGTTTTTGTACATAAAAATTTGATGAGAGAGCTTCTTTTAGGGTGTATGATACATAAACTGGATAATACTTGAAAAGTCTTGAAAAACATTTAATCAATACATCTGTTAGTGTTTTCATAGTTTGTTGTCAAGAACAATTTGTCATTAGTTGTGTTTTTGTTTCAGATTGACCTTTCAGTTCAATCCATCCTCCAAGGTATATAGCTTCACTGTTGTAGATCTGAAACCCAATGGTGAAGATGAAATTGTGACATTAGAAAATGCTGAAGAATACATTGAGGCTATAACAGATTTCTGCCTTCATACTGGAATTCGAAGGCAAATGGAAGCATTCAGAAGTAAGATTTGTCTTCACCTTATGATGAAAGTTGGAATGGCTTTTACATGTTACAAGCTCACACATGAATTGTGATTATAACCCTACCTGTCATTTTGATAAAATGAAACATTTTGGTTCTGGTATATACCGTAAAAATCTGTTAGAAGACAAACTGTATACTGTCGCACTTGTTTACGCTTGGCAAGGTTTGATTATTCACACCCAAAGATAAAATATTCACCTTGTTTGCTGTTATTAAATATGCAGGAATGTGTATAAAAAAACCTATCAGAAATTTGAAAGCTGGTTGGCCAAAATGTAAATAAATGACATCATCATGTGATAGGATCTGTTCATGTTTCCTTACACATTTAATTCTATTGTCTAACAGATGGTTTTAATGATGTATTCCCAATGGAAAAACTGAATTCCTTCAACCCAGCTGAAGTACAAACTATGTTGTGTGGTGATCAGACCCCTGAATGGACCAGAGATGATATCCTCAATCACACAGAACCCAAACTAGGTTACACCCGAGAGAGGTAAGTTACACCTGTCATTGAGCAGCTGTGCAGTGTTGAATTCAAACAAAACCACACATACTGCATTCCATATTTTGCACTGATGACTATTTGCTTAAGGTAGAGATGCAGTTTACCTGACAGATATTTTAATTAGTTAATTAGGAAACCAAGATGACCTTCCTTGTACACAAAACTATATATTTTCGGAAAGTATATTTTATGAAGTTAACAAATTTTTAAGTATTTTTTTGTCTGGACACTGTAGTTTGAAATATGCACAAAAATGTGTTTTTTTTGGTCAAAAGTGATATAAAAAAATTAGCTTCTAAACCATGCCTCTGTTTCCTGTCAAAATTGGTTTACGGGTACATCTGTTTGTTATGAAGTAAGTGCTGTCTTGAAAACTGTCTACCAGTTGTCAATTTTGCTGGGCAGCAGTTCAACTTTCACTAATTCAAGTTTATGCATAAATTAACACCCAGGCTAGTTGTCTGTACGATTGTTGTAACACTGTTCAACCAAAAACAATGCCCGACGGCGTTTTGAAGATAAAAACATTGTCAATCATTTGTGAAAATTTCAAAAGAAAAGGTCAAAGCGTCTAGGAGCTAAGTTCTGGGATGTGCACTGAAAAGAAGCTGAGATAATTGCTAATTTGCATATTTTATAGTGAAGTAAAAATATATGCTGATTTACATCACCATTGGATTTAACAGAGTTCCACTAATGATTTTAATTTCAAATTTTCACAGAATACAGATGTTCATACAATGCCATAAAAAATAAAAAAAAGTTAAATTTGCAAAATAAACTGCATCTCTACCTTAAGTCATGAGATGGCCTACTAACTACCAAAGTTGAGTAGTTTTGTTAAGCTGCAAAATATTGGGTTATTTGTAAGTGTGTCACCATAGTTCCTATGTAATAAAACTATCTATTAAGTTTTACAAATCTTATCACAATGGTTTTTCAAGGAGATGAACTATTTTCTTTTAGAGAGTACTAATTCAATGTTATATTTCCAATGTGGCCTCGAAAAATACTTTCAATAGTAATTTTGATTTTCAAAAGTAGGCGACAATGGTGTTTTAATTTTAATCCGTGGTTCAGAGCTTCAAATATAATTATATCTTGGTGTGTTATTATAGTATTATTGGATTTGATGTTACTGACAAATGTAACTTACACTGTCTCTGTTAATTGCAGCCCTGGATTCCAGAGATTTGTCAATGTCATGTGTTCCTTGGATTCAGATGAAAGAAAGTGTTTCCTACAGTTTACAACTGGCTGTTCGTCTCTGCCACCAGGTGGTCTAATGAACTTGCATCCACGTCTCACCATTGTCAGAAAAGTGGACGCCAATGACAACACTTATCCCTCAGTCAATACTTGCGTGCATTATCTAAAACTGCCTGAGTATACCACTGAAGAGATTATGAAAGAGAAGCTTCTAGCTGCGACAAGCGAGAAAGGGTTCCACCTCAACTAGTAGTTGCATCCTCTGCCTGTGTATGGAATATATGAATAAAAACTTTGGCTGCTGCAAACCATTTACTGAAAATGGGTTGGGGGGTTTGAAAACTTGTGTAGTAATCACATACAATTTATTGATGTTATTTTTTAGTTTTTTTTGAAATATATTTGCAAGTACTGCGAGTTAAATGTAATGATTGAATAACGAATGAGGAAGTCTGAAAGGTGCTTTTTTTGTTGCTGTCTCATTAAAAGCAGCATTTGTGCAATGTCTTTTGGCTCTTGTACAGTATAATGTTAGGGATTGATTTTTGTGGGATTGGTTGGGAACGTATTTTAGTTTTTACTATATTCTTTGATAACCGTTTGATTTAAATAATATGCATTGTGTGATTCACATGTGTATAGCATTGACATTCAGAGCAATACATACCAGTAGATAAGTACTGAACAGGCCCTTTTTATTTTTTATTGCACAACACTTAGGGCAATTAATTGGTGCAATTGTTCTGGCTTCAATGAGGGGGAGGTGGTGAAATTGCTGGGTAACAAGATTACAGATGAACAGTACTTGAATTTCCAGTTGGGAGAGTACCCATTTTCAAAGTAAAATTTGATTAAGATTACTATAGGGAAAATCTGTTGTTTTTTTTAGGCCATAGCACTAAAAATAAATTTATTAAAAAGTATCAAGAGAGTGTCGTGGAGTGAAGCAATACAGTGTCATGAAAATGAGAAAGACAAGACAGTTGTTTACATTTAGAATCAAATGTACACTCAATGGGGTATTTACAGTGTTTTCAGCTGGGAGTTTATGTTGGTCTGTTACTCATTGATACTTGACTACTACTCTAGATTGAGGAAGTTTGTTTTAAATGGGTTGATGTACCTATTCCTTCAGCTTTTGGTCTTAAAAATGACACATTTAAAACACATGTTGCCATTTAAAATAATTTGGATTTATTGACAAATTTAAATACGTTTTGCTGAGTAACTAGCAATTTCTGAAATATACTGAAAACATCTGACCTACTAATTTTTGTTATGACTGAGCTTAGAGCTTTTTGAAAACTTCCAATCATAATAGAGAGAAATATTGTCATATTTATTGTTGAACCAAATGTTAGGCACATCAACCCTGTTTACAGTACACTGGAATTAAAGAATAATTTGTTTACTTTCCCCCCAGTTCTTAAGACATTTTAAAGGAAACATCAAGCCAAACAACATTATAAATAACTCCTCAAGAAAAAGAATGCAATTTACAGTTTTTTTAATATCACTTTTCATTCTCTAGATATTCAACTTTTCATCAGTATTATGCAGTCAGCCATCTTGATTCTCAAGCAAAGGATTATGGGTAAAGTATGACATTATAGAATCTGTTGTCAGAAATTGAGAAAATGATTTCATCTATAACATAAGAAATACTGATGCGAATTAGTTCAAATTTTCGTTGTGCATATACCGTACCATTTTATAATTATAGTAATGGAAATTAGAATGTTATAAATACACATAAAGTGAAGATATTGCCAAAAACGTTAAAAAAAATAAACGTTTTTTTACTCATGAAATATAGAATGACACTTTTTTTGTCCCCTTTTCGTGATCAACAGGTAATATATCACATATATAACCTACTCACATCGGTAAGTTGTACACAATATCAGGAAATTTGAGCATTTGGTAGAAAAACATAAAAATAAACATTTTCAGTTCCGTTTCCATGACAAATGTTTTATAAGCATGTTTGGTACCAGTACATGTAGATGAAATCATTTTCGCAATTTCTGACAACAGATTCTATATCGTCAAGAATCAAGATGGCGGACTACATAAATTGATGAAAAGTTGAATATCTAGAGAATGAAAAGTGATTTAAAAAAACTGTAAATTGCATGTTCTTACATTTGCCGAGCTCTTTTATCTGGGAGTACTATGTTGTTAGACTTGACTTTCCTTTTGAGATAGCCCAGTGATGTTCAGTCACATTATTATTTTGACTTGTATCATTGATCAATAATCAAAGGATGTTTTGTGCAGGCCTGGGATTACGGTAGGGGCCAAACAACATTGGGTATTTCATGGCATTTTATATTGTGTCATACAGGCTTCACATTGAGTGATTTTCCAAAGAAAACTTAAATTTAAAACAGCAAGGTGGCCTATGCAAGTCCTGGAGAATTTCTAACACATTTTTTTGTAGCAGATAATGCCATTATTATACCTGATTTCTGAGAAAAATTTCTTACTTTTAGTTGATGTGTTAAGATTTTTATTTATTCTCTAAGCCAAGGGAGTGTTCAGGAAAAGCATGCATTGTGATTTACTTTTGCCCACACATCAATCAAACTCTGATGTAATTTTCATAATGAGATTCTTTGTTAATTTGCTACCGAATTCAAATCAGTATATTAAAAGGGAAACGCAAGAGTTTCCATTATATAGTATTAAAATGCTATTCTGTTGAAATACAATATCCTGTGTGGGTGTTCTTTATACAGATGAATGGAAGAGAAAATGGCTTATTAGATTGCATAACAATAAATGTGTATTTTGGATGAATTCTACAATTGTGGGTACAAGTGCATGTAGATAGTGTCTGCCATAATTAGATCATGGAAATGTATAGGTAATTGCATGGGTAGGAATGGTTTACAATTTGCATATGAATCCTCCCTAGCATATAGCATGTCTTTTAACTCTGTCTGATTGGTTGTTGTCTTTTATAGTGCACTCTATGCACAGCTCCTATTGGCTAATACAAGGACTCTGCACACTGATACATGGTGCTAAGATGTAAATGTAGCACTATTGCAGATAGACATTCAACCAGTGCTTTATTGATGATAAATGCACTTCTCTGCATAATGGAATGACACACACACACATCTCTGCATACTGGAATGACACACACACACACACACACACACACACACACACACACGCTCTGCATACTGGAATGACACACACACTTTCTCTGCATACTGGAATGACACACACACACACACACACTTCTCTGCATACTGGAATGACACACACACACTTCTCTGCATACTGGAATGACACATACACACTTCTCTGCATACTGGAATGACACACACACACACACTTCTCTGCATACTGGAATGACACACACACACACACTTCTCTGCATACTGGAATTACACACACACACTTCTCTGCATACTGGAATGTCACACACACACACTTCTCTGCATACTGGAATGACACATACACACTTCCCTGCATACTGGAATGACACATACACACTTCTGCATACTGGAATGACACACACACACACACTTCTCTGCATACTGGAATGACACATACACACTTCTCTGCATACTGGAATGACACATACACACTTCTCTGCATACTGGAATGACACACACACACACTTCTCTGCATACTGGAATGACACATACACACACACACACACACTTCTCTGCATACTGGAATCACACACACTTCTCTGCATACTGGAATGACACACACACACACTTCTCTGCATATTGGAATGACACACACACACACACACACTTCTCTGCATACTGGAATCACACACACTTCTCTGCATACTGGAATGACAAATCAAAGTCAAAAATGAAATTCCATATTTTATAAAAACAAAAAAAAGAACATTTCTGAGATAAAAGCCATTTTGCTTGAGGTTAAGATCTGAGGATCATGTTAAAATCGGTGATAACAATTCCACATTGAACCGACAGTGAATATACAAATACACATATAACACTATTCAGCTTTTAACTTTTTAACTTCATCTTCACTAGATACAAGTTCCTGAAACGAATGAATGGTCAGAAATTCGTTTATCTCATCTTCTGTCAGTTCAGCATTTCCTGGTCTTACAACAATTATCGTCTTCAAACCAGCTTTTCTGCATGGACGTGCCTCTGCAAAATGAGAACAGTAAGCAATTTTGACATATTGGAGTGTCTAGACCTAATTGTAGAAACAAAACAAGTTACTATGTTAAGACAGGCATGACTTGAGTCAATACAATGCAGGAAAATTAAAATACTGTAAAATACCTTATTTTCACCTGGGATTAATTTTCGCTGAACGAGTGATTCAGTGAAAACAAGTCATTGTCAATGACACGTCCCCGTTCCGTTCATATTTGAGTGACATATACATTCAAAGCAGATCATGACCGAAATGCACCTGCATATGTACAACACATTGTACTAAATCTGAACAAAATCCATGCATGCATGACTGAGATCCGGTTCTGGAATTGTGAAAATACGTGATTTTAATGCATTTTCGGCCTTAAAATGGCCATCATTCAGCTATTGCTAAGCGGATCATGAAACAAATGCACATATCTATTTGTGACATGATGCACCATGTGTGTGTGAAGTTTGAACTTGATCAATCCAGACATGTCTTGGATACGGATCCAGAACTGAATTCTTTAAGAAAATGGCCGCCAGTCGGCCATTTCGAACTTGATCCGAAAAAAAAAATGACATGCATCAAGGTCCTATTATGTTTAATGTAAGTACCGAATTTGAACAAAATCCGTCCATGCATAACTGAGATCCGGGTTCGGAATGGTGAAAATGTGCGATTTCAATGCATTTTCGGCCTTAAAGCGGCCGCCATTTGGCTATCGTTAATGGGATCATGAAACAAATGCACATACATATTTGTGACATGATGTACCTTGTGTGTGTGAAGTTT